ACAGGGCACAGGGACAACATCGATTATTCTTGGAACTTGCCTGTAGGAATGCAGCTGTGTGCAGACACACTGATAAGCACACACTTCTTTACATAATTATTTGTAAATTTTTTTTATTGATTCTCTATAACTTTTTAAAAAAAAATTCATCACTTTCCCCCTAATCAAAGAGGATTTTGATCGGAATTCTTGTGGGGAGCCCCCTGCTCTCCCAGATGCCCACCGTCATTTCTGTTGAAGGGAGGAAAAACATCAGCTCTCTTGATTTCTACTCTAATCCTCTAGCACTGAAACCAGAAGGTTGCATGTCCCCTGCGTGAGCATCCAAGAAGATCCTGTCTGTGGAAACAGGAGTGTCACAGCCTTGACTGAGAACCATGGTCCTGAAATGAGACGGTGTCCCCAGTGGAGAGCACACGCGGACGCCCACACCAGAGGGCTCACTGCGCCTCACCACAGATGCACTCCCCTACTGAGTCCTGAGACCTGAGTGCACCCCATAGAGTAGTACTCAGATGAGGGGATGCAAATCTCCACCAGCTCCACCCTCCTCACGATTGAAAAGCCGAGCACCGGGACTGGCTCAGTGAATCCTGTGCCCCACCATGGACACGCTTTGCTCCACACTCCTGCTGCTGACCGTCCCGTCCTGTGAGTGCTGTGGTCAGGGACTACTTCAGGGGTGAAACATCTGCTCTTTTCTTTGTGGGCTTCATCTTCTTATGCTTTCTCCACAGGGGTCTTGTCCCAGGTCACCTTGAAAGAGTCTGGTCCTGCGCTGGTGAAACCCACACAGACCCTCACGCTGACCTGCACCTTCTCTGGGTTCTCACTCACCACTAGTGGAATGGGTGTGGGCTGGATCCGTCAGCCCCCAGGGAAGGCCCTGGAGTGGCTTGCACAAATTTATTGGACTGACAGTAAAGACTACAGCACATCGCTGAAGAGCAGGCTCACCATCTCCAAGGACACCTCCAAAAACCAGGTGGTTCTAACAATGACCAACATGGACCCTGTGGACACAGCCACATATTACTGTGCACGGGGAGCACAGAGTCACAGCCCAGGGCGCCTCCTGTACAAGAACCCACGCTGCTTCTCAGGGGTGCTCCCTCCCCATCTCTGCAGAACAGGAAAGAGTGGCTGAGATGCCTTTTCCTGACAGGGCCTGGGCTTCTTATCCCCATCTCACTCAGAGCCTTGTCTTCCCCCCTCTTCTTTACTAATGAATGGCATGTCCCCTGCTAGTGGTTCATGCAAGCAGAAGCTGTTTCCTGTTTGGCAAAGATTCAGCAGGAAAGGTTCCTGTTATCTAAAAAAAAAAAAAAAAAAGACAGATGATACTTAATTAACCTGAAGATTTTTTTTCAAAACAACAGAGTGAATAGGCAATTTGCAGAATGACAGAAAACTTTTGCACACTTTGCCTGTGACAGGGAACTAACATGAAGAATTTGCAAGGAACTCAAACAAATCTACAACAACAACAGCAACAAGAACCAAATAACCCCACTAAAATCAGCAAAGGGCATGAGTAGACATTTTCTTTTCTTTTTTTTTTTTTTTGAGGACGCAGTCTGGTGCTTATGTTCCCCAGGCTGGAGGGCAGTGGCGCGATCTCGGCTCACTGCAAGCTCCGCCTCCCGGGTTCATGCTATTCTCCTACCTCAGCCTCCCAAGTAGCTGGGACTACATGTGCCCGCCACCACGCCCAGCTAATTTTTTGTATTTTTAGTAGAGACAGGGTTTCACTGTGTTAGCCAGGATGGTCTTGATCCCCTGACCTCGTGATCCACCTTGGCCTCTCAAAGTGCTGGGATTACAGGCGTGAGCCACCGCACCCGGCGACATTTTCAAAAGAACACATAGAAGTGGATAATAAATATATAAGCAATGCTCAACATCACTGACCATCAGGGAAATGCAAATTAAAATCACAATAAGATATCATCTTCCACCAGTTGCAATGACTATTATTAAAAACTCAAAAATATCAGATGTTGGTGAGGATGGGAAATAAAGGAAACTGTTAGACACTGTTGATGAGGATGTGGACGAGGACAACCTCTATGGAGAATGGTATGGAGATTTCCCAGAAAACTAGAAATAGACCTGCCATTTGCTCCAGCAATGCCACTGCTGGGTAACTACCCAAAGGAAAATAAACCATTATTTCAAAAAGATACCCACACTCCTATGCTTACCATAAAACTATTCTCAATAGCACATGTGTCAAACGGAGTGTCTGCCAATGGATGATTTTATAAAGAATATAGCATGTATGCACAATTCAATACTAGCCAGCCACAATAAGGAATGAAACTGTGTCTTTTGCAGCAAGATGCATAGAACTAGGGAACAATATAATTAGTGAATTACCTCACAACCAGAATGTCACATGTCACACGTTATTACTTATAAAAGGGAAGTAAACAGTGTGTACACAAGGACATGTAGAGAGAAATTATGGACATTGGAGACTTAGAACGATGGGAGGGCACAAGGTGGGAGCATGATGAGACATGACATAATGGGCACAATATACAATAATTAAGAGCTGACTAATGATTTTAAAATTGAAATGTAACATACGATCAATAAATGAAATTGATATTAGTTGACTTCATTAAATTTAAAAACTTTTTCTACTCAAATGACTATAAGAAAATGAATGCCAGGTTACAGATGAGAAACTGTTTGCAAGTCGTATAACCACCAATGTGATTATAATAAGAACCCTCAGAACTCAACTGTGAATAAAAAGGAAACAACTGATGGATAAATTAGACAAGGGTTTGTACAGACATTTCATCAAAGACGATGTGCAGACGACACAGAAGCACATAACCAGGCTCTCAACAGGATTTTCCATTAGAGAAATTGAAATCAAGTCCACAATGAGACACCAGTACACACTTTTTTAAATGACTGAAATGAAGAGGAAATACAGATAACACCAATGCCAGTGAGCATGCCAGGTTGCTAGAGTCTAAATCATTGCTAACGGGAATACAAAATGAAACAGATGCTCAGGAAAATAAGTTTTAGTTTTCTCTAAAATCAAACATGTCCTTAAAACCCGACCCTAATATCCCACTCCTGAATATTTGCTTCAGAGAAATACAATCTTACATTCACACATAACTTCTATTCAAATATTCAAGATACTGTGTGTGTGTCAGAAACTAAAAATAACATAAATGTCTCAAAATTTGAATAGGTGAAGGAACTAGGAAGCATCTATCAATTGAACACCATCAGCAATAAAAAAATAACAAGTGACCGATACATAAACCATTACTGGTGAACTCCAGATATGAGGCTAAGGGAGAGAAGTCAGTCTCAAAGATCAAAGAGACACAGCTGTCAGCACCACGGTCATCCTCAGGTGTCAGTGGTTTAGGCTGGGCTTTCTCTGCCTCTTTCCTGACCAGGCCCAGATGTTGAGCTCCAACACTTGCAGATGGAAAATCCTACTATTTTCAGTCACGAACTGAGGTTTGAATTGCTTCACAGACTGAACCAAACAAACACAGGCTAATTTGAACAGTGTCTGGCATTTGTTCCAACCACAAGAGAACTTCCCCCAGCTCTCCCGCTCCTCACTTCTCTTCTGCAAACCAGCAGCCCTGCAGTTTAGCCTGCCTCTCCCGTGCATCCACCCATCTCATTCCAAGGACCTTCCACCACACCCTCCACTGTTTTTGAGAGCAGTGGCAGGCTTTGAACTTTCCCACATTCTGCTGTTATTGAAGTTAGGCTGTTTAGGACCAAATTGAGGGTCATACGTTATAAGTGAATTCCAGCACTCCCTTTCCCCTGGGACAGCACGCACAACCAAGTTTCTGCCGGTGGAGATATAGTTGAGCTTTTCCCTTCCTCAGCATAGGAAATGAGCGCTAAGTGGAGGGTTGGGCAGAAGCTTCCCATGTTCCCAGTACTCTACTTCTGGTGGGGAGGAACCTCTGCCGTAGGACAGAGCTAGAAACCGGGGACCCAATGTTCCCAGTGGCACTGGACCCAGGGCAGAGCCTCCATCCATGAGTGGGGCTCCATGGAAGAAGTGAGTCTCTGGCTCTCAGTAGCTCTTGTCCAGAACTGAGCCTCAGCATCACGTGCTGTGGGCAGGGTCAGAGGGCCAATGTCCTGGCCCCTGGGGAAGAGTTTCCTCTGGTGGGAGCTGGAAGAAGGTGTCCTGTCTTCCTGGATGCATCTGTCTGCAGTGGAGTTTACGTCATGCTGAGCTGGGATGTGGAAGGAAGGAAGAGCATCTTAGATGAAATACGATGACTGGACTTACTGAGTTTTATAGATTTTCTTGAATAAATGTTTCTTCACTTACTTTATGCTGTTAGAGCCTTTCCAAACCCTGTAATTTTTCAGAAGTTTCAAAATAATTTTCACTGGTCTCATGGGGACATGGATTCATTGAGCCCCTCATGCTGTCAAAGAGAAATATAATTTTTTTTCACTTTGTAGAGAACATCCGTGGGTTATGAAATAATGAGTTGACTTTTCGTCCAACACTTTGCAGATACCATCAATTTTCCTCTTGCTTGTAAGGTTTAACTAGAAGAACGCTGTCGCCATCTTTTCTGTTCTTTGGGAAGGAATCCACCTCTACTCACCTCCACTTGCCTGTGTGTTTCTATTTCCATTTGGTTTTCAGCAGTTTTAATAAGATTTAGCTAAATGTGTGTGTGGGTGGAGGGGGTGGGGGCGGGGACAGGGTGTGTTATTCTGCTGCTCTGTGCTCTCTGAGATGCACGGATTCACGGTTTACTCTGTCTCCATTTTGGGGAACACAATTAGAATAAATGTCAGTGTGAGCCCAGAAACAAGCCTCCCTGAAGGGGGAACACGACCACCTGGGGGCGCTCAGGACCCACTGAGCACCAGAGCCAACCTCAGGACAGGTGCAGATGGGGGTTAAGGTCTGGTTTCCTGTCAGCCCTGTGGCTTCCTCTCCATAAAACAGTTTCCTCTGGGGCAATTCTCTGGATTCCTCATCCTGTTCTTCCCGTGAAGTGAAGTCTCTGAAGAGGAAACATTTGTCGGAACAAGAGAAAAACTTTCTGACCGAAGGCAGAGTCACCCACAGTCACTGATGCCTGTTTCTCAATGTCAGTAAGTTATCAAAGCTTCTGAATTTAGTCAGCTAAATCTAGAAAAGGTGTGGTGTTTAACTCAACACTGCAGCCCAGCTCAACAGAACCCCAAGGGCCAGTGGGCAGCAGGCAGGATAAAGTGCATGCCGGGCACTGGGGCAGAGGGAGTTCCCATCCAGTGCAAGAGAAGAAAGGCCCGTAGTGGTCACTGTCAGGACTCCAAGCCCACAGTACCAATTGTAGGTGCCCCCATGCCAAGGAAGAGAGACCCCACCAATGATTAGTGTGGGTGTCAAGTCTGACAGTGCCACACTCACACCTCAGGTGATCATGGAACGATTTACCAACACTGTTATTGTCTGCTGAGAGCAGCACAGGCCTCTCAAGACATTCCAAGCTGGAATTTCCTCAATGGAACAGGAAAGCAGGCTGGATCAGGGATTTAAAATGACTTGGTGGTGGTGTCGGGGGTGGGGTGGGAGCGTTTCTACTCAGGAGAAGGAGTCTGTGTGATTTAAACTTCACACTGGCATCAGATAAGGGAGTTGACACTTTATTCTCTCTAGCAGCTTAAGAAAATGAGTGAAAAAGAGAGATAAGGGTCCAGTATGTGTGAAAAGCAAACAGACCTAAAGAAAATAATTTTTTTAATCATGATAAGCACATAATAAAAAGAAAGAGAAGAAGGACTGAGACAGGCAGAGGTGCTGAATCAATGTCCTGAGGGAGCCTTTTCATTATCTACAGTCATCAATTTATTCTGAAGGTCTCAGGTCAGCTTCTTGCTTCAAAATGTCACTGGTCCTTATCGGGTATATAAAAATCCTTATAGGATATCCACAGTTTGTCATACTTTACTAAAGTAGTCTAGTAATTAAATGAAGTTCTGAATTTAATCTTCAGTTGTGTTAAATATTTAAAAATACCACAATCTACAGATTAGGAAACTGAGACTCTATTTTTATCAAGGGTTACAGCCATCCCACAGGCTGGAAAGCATAGTTTTGGTAAAGATGAGAGACTGACACTCCCAAGAAGGAGTTAGGCGGAAGCTTTATGCTGAATGTGTTGGTTAAACAGACATTATCAACAGGTTACAGGAGGGGCTACTGATGTTCACGGAGGTGGTGCTGACACATGCACACTGAACAAACACGCATGTAGCATATGAGCCCTGTTCACTCACCAGTGGTGACTGAGCATTTAAATTCATTACAGACAGGCCCTACGTGCAAATAGCAGAAGCAGAGACACAAAGGCGCTCAGTGTGCAGCCTCTGTAAATGGCCAGAGCCAGGCCATGGTGAGTGGTCTCTCATCAGGAGAAAGTTCCTCATATCAAATGTTCAATCAAAGCTGGGATTACGGCTTGTGGAACACGGGTCAGTTCATCAGGGGATGGGCTGCAATTGTCTTCACAGTGCTTGTCTCAGTGCCAGTGCGTACTGAGCCACTAGAGAAAAAGGTTTAATTGAGCTTCTTTAAAATCAACATTTTGAATTATTTATCAAACATTTCTAATATGTCATGTTGTTTAGATTCTATTGCTGGAGAGTTAATGTAACATTTGGGGGTTTGTAACTCTGTTTTTTCATACTTCCAGAATTGCTTCTCTGTTTCCTTTTCTTTGGCTAACCTGTCTCTTCTTATTATTTTTGAATTCATTCTGATTTTGATGAATATTTCATTCCCTTTATAATGTGAATATAATGTACATTGTGTGGGTCTTTGGATTTTGGTTCTTGTTCACTCAGTGGCAATGACTCTGTAAGAGTTCCTCGTCTATATATAGCCATTATTTAGTGGCTTTCTGAAATGGTGGTTTTAGTACCAATGTACTGGACCTGTGAGTAGACTCACTGCCTCCTGCAGGTCCTAGATAGTGGAGGCCTCAGGAACTGTTTCTCATTTGGAATGCGTTTGTTTCTGAGATTTGTGTTGGGTTGTTAAGTTCACCTTTCATGTTAGTAGGTGGCCTTACAGATTTGAGCCGACTGCGGGAGAAGCAGATGAGTACTTGCTTGATATCTGTGCACAGGGAGAAACTCTCTGTTGCCTCAGGCGACGGGCTGGTCTATCATATGCACAGTGACCTGAGTTCCCTGCTCAGCCGCTGAGAGGGGCACCAAGCTGGACACACATGAGCCATCGAGCCTGGCAAGCAAAAGCACCTTGATGGAAATGGCCAGGTGAGGGGCATCGACTCAGTGTGATTTATTTTGTTATTAATAGTTTTAGTGTTGTGCCTTTTCCAAATTCCAGCTTTAGTAGTAACATACTGAGCATGTGAGCAGGCCCGTGGTCTTTTGCGGAGCTGGAATCACAGAAGTATTGAGAAGCTAATCTCATTTTCACCTGCTGTACACTGGTGGTAGCGGCTTTGTATTAGGTCATGCAGTTTGAACACCAGGCCAGTAGGTGTCGCGTGCAGGTAAGAGCCGGCTATGGTGACAGCAGAAGGATTTACGCTTTACCAGTGGTTAAAGTGGGAAATTTGTCACGTTCCAGATCTTAGAGAAAAGACTTTTAGTTATTTCTCATTCAGTCTGATACTACCTGACAGTCTCTGGAACACAACTTTTTGTTATGTCGAGATGTGTTCTTTCTATACCCATTTTTATGGTTTTTTTCCATGAAAGGATGTTGAGTTTCATCAAATGCGTTTTCAGCATCAATTGAAAAAATATTATAAGTGGATTAAAGATCTAAACGTAAAACCTAAAACTATAAAGACTCTGGATAATAACATAGGAAATACAATTTAGGACATAAGAACTGACAAAGGCTTTATAATGAAAATGCTAGAAGCAGTTGCAACAAAATTGAAAATTGACAAATGGGACCTAAGTCAATTAAAGAGCTTCTGCATAGCAAAAATCCCATCAACAGAGTAAACAGGCAACCTATAGAATGGGAAATAAAATATTTACAACCTACACATCTGACAAAGGTCCAATATCAATATATACATGGAACTTTAACAAACATTCAAGAAATAAAAAGTGACCAAGGGACATGAAAAGACACTTCAAAAAAGACCTACATGTGGCCAACAAGCATAGGCAAAATGCTGAATATCACTATCATTAGAGAAATACATCTCAAAACCGCAATGAGGTACCATCTCACATCAGTTAGAATGGTTAATCTTAAAAAAAACCAGACTTCTAAGACTGCAGAAAAAACGGGAAATTTATACACTTCTGGTGGGAATATACATTGGTTCAACCATTGTGGAAAGCAGTGTGGTGATCCCTCAAATAATCTAAAACAGAAGTTTCATTTGACCCAACAATCCTACAACTGGACAGATACCTAAAGGAATATAAACATGCAGGTTCATTGCAGCGCTATTCACAATAGCATAGACATGGAATTACCTAAATCCCCATTACTGGCAGAATGGATAGAGAAAAGTGTGCTACATACAACCATGGAATACTATGCAGCTAAGAAAAGAATGAAATTATGTCCTTTGTAGGAATATGATGGAACTGGCAGTCATTACTCTTAGCAAACTAATTCAGGAATGGAAAACCAGATATTATATGTTCTCACTTATTTGTTGGAGATAAATAAAAGGAAATATTCTTCCCGGGCTTGAGTTTTCCTTATTCAACAAGCCATTCTAAATTAAGTGTTCAACGAGTTGCTGATAATCATTTAAATATTCTATTTCATATAGACCACTTATATCACTCAAAAATCAATGAGAACAATATTTATCAGCAGGATTATAGGATAATAAATATCTGAATAGTGAGAATATGAAGGATATGGATGGTTTTTTAATTCAATGGGCACATAACTGTGGGAGACACTATATCCCTATGAAAAAGTTATTCAGACTTCAGAGATAAGTAATATTTCCTACATTGTGTTTGTGACTTGGAAGTGGTGGATTGAAGGGTGTGGTAGGTACACAGACCAAGCAGATCAGAAATCAACATGTAAAGATGATGATCTATGGACATGATCTAAAACCATGTCAAATCACTCTATTTAACGGAGTTTGAAATAAAACACAAACTTACTTAAAATACAAATTACTTGGTAATTATTTTTGGGCACTATGAATTCATCAAGAAACTAAAATTCCTATTTCTATTTCAACCCCTGATTCCTACTGTCAATGGGAGGGAAATGTCAGAATTAATCACACATCAGAGGGCAAATCTGTAAACCAAGAGTCTTTCCATTGAAGGGCCTGGGAGGTCAGGACCCTCAGGAAAGTGCTGGGGAGTGTGTCGTGGGAACACCCAGCAGATCTCAGAAATCTCCATGGGCCCTGCTGGATGCTCATGTGGGATAACTGGTGGCCACATTCTCCATGTTACCTGTGAGCTCTGACTGTTCCTAATGGGACCAGAATGGAGTCAAGGTGACTTCTCAATGTCAGAGACAGCGATGGTCCCAGAAACAACCCAGGTAATCTCTAAGCCAACAAAATGTGGGTTCACAGTGGGGGGCACATCCTGGGTTGGGGCATGTTCTTCAGTGTGAGGAGTGCTGTCCACAGAAAGCTTAGAAATGGGGCAGGGGATGCATTTCTTCGAGCAGCATTTAGGGCTTGGTCTCTCAGAATCCCACTCTTGTACAGCTGATGTGGCATCTGTGTTTTCTTTCTCATCCTGGTTCAGGCTTTGAGCTGTGAAATACCCTGCCTCATGAATATGCAAATAACCTGAGGTCACCTGAGATAAATATAAATATATTGGTGCCCTGAAAGCATCACATAACAACCACATCCCTCCTCTAAAGAAGCCCCTGGGAGCACAGCTCATCACCATGGACTGGACCTGGAGGCTCCTCTTTGTGGTGGCAGCAGCTACAGGTAAGGGGCTTCCTAGTCCCAAAGCTGAGGAAGGGATCCTGGTTTAGTTAAAGAGGGTTTTGTTCACTCCTGTGTCCTCTCCACAGGTGCCCAGTCCCAGGTCCAGCTGGTGCAGTCCGGGGCTGAGGTGAAGAAGCCGGGGGCCTCAGTGAAGGTCTCCTGCAAGTCTTCTGGATTCACCTTCGGCAGCGATGCTATCAGCTGGGTGCGACAGGCCCCTGGACAAGGGCTTGAGTGGATGGGAGTGATCATCCCTCTTGTTGGTATAACAAACTACGCACAGAAGTTCCAGGGCAGAGTCACAATTACCGCCGACACGTCCACTAACACAGCCTACCTGGAGCTGAGCAGCCTGAGATCCGAGGACACGGCCGTGTATTACTGTGCGAGAGACACAGTGTGAAAACCACATCCTGAGAGTGTCAGAAACCCTGAGGGAGAAGGCAGCTGTGCAGGACTGAGGAGATGACAGGGGTTATTAAGTTTAAGGCTGTTTACAAAATGGGTTATACATTCGAGAAAAAAAGAACAATAGAAGCAAGTACATCCTCTAATTTTAAGATAAATACTCCATTCAAGAATAATCATATGAGCCAAATTCACAGAGTGGAAACGGCCACACTCAATAAAGTTGATACAAACATTCCATGAAGGTGCTACTGTGAGCAAATTTTCCAATGGGATGAATACATGATTTGCAACAAGGTTATTTGATCACGTAGTGAGACTAAGAATGATTCTTAAAACATGGCAAAAATTTATTTTAAATGTTTCTGTCACTCCTTCTCATAAAGTTTATTTTAGAGCAGTTTTAGGATTACAAAGAAATTGAACAGAAGGTGTGAGAATTCCCACTAATCCCTGCCCTACACAGGCACAGCCTCCTCCACAACGACCATCCTGCCCCACAGGCAAAAATCTGTCACAATGGATCAATCTCCAAGGACACTTGGTTCTTTCTTTTTCTGGTGATGCTCTAATATAACAAACGTAAAGTATTTCAGAGCACCACAGGTTTTTTCAGTGCTTTCTAAAACTGATATTAGTTAGAGGGAAAGTGGGTGAGGCTACTACTATTTGAAATCTTTCTTCAAAAATCCAGAAAATATAGCATCCTTTAATGAGAATTGGAGACCCTGGCAATGAGAGACTCCATGTATAATGCCCTAGAGTTGGATTAGATGCACCGTAAGCTCTTGGGTGGTGGTTCCGAATAAGGCGGATTGTGCAGCAAATGCAAACACATTTACAGGACCCAGGTAGGAACAAAAGCTTCCCTTTTCAAAGGGACTGTGCACCCGAAGGAGCCCTCACAGAGGTGGGCACTGCTCACCCTTGATGAGTACATATTTTTCAGAGGCATGATCACGATTGGTCTTGTGGGTAAAGAGCACCACTCTGAGCAAGTCCATCTGTTTGCTTGTGGGCGCCAACCCCATGGAGGGTGCACTCTGGGAGATGACAAGATTCACACAAACCTCTTCTCAGTAATTATCCACTACCACACACTCAGAAAAAACCTGGGCTCCAGAAAGGGATATGTGCATGCTGAAATAAACAGAGCTTAAGGAGTTTATTACCTGGTGAATATACTGCCCAAAACCACACATTTCAGGGAGATTAGCTCAGAAATCTTTACCAAGTGACAGAAGGGCAGTGGTGGTTGAGGTGACGGGACAGCCTCAGGGCTGCACATGAGAAGGGCTCCCTCCCCCACGCAGGCTTTTCCTCCAGGAGCTGCACCAGGAACTCAAGAAGGATCAGGGAGAATTCTGAGAACACCCTGCTGCGGTGCGGCCTAGAGGGGAAGAATAAATATGAAAAAATACAACTCTGAGTAACGTATGGGCATTCGTTCATGAAAACTGTTTTTCTGAAAGCTTGTGAAGGTCTTGAAATGCCCTCGATTAGCTGAGGGCAAACATTGAAACCCTCCTTCACAAAGAGTTCAAGCAGGCTGGATGTGTCCTTCTGTGGATGATCTTCCCCAGCCCCTTCCTCTTCCCAGCTCATCCCTGGCTCTCTGTGTAAACAGTGCTCATCAGTGGAATGTGGTTGATGAAGTGAAGTCTTCAATTTTCTCATCTTCTGTGTGGTCATGTTATTTTTTTCACTTGAGGTTTAAAAACTCACCTGCAAGCCGCACCTGACAGCTTAAAATCTCTTGTGGACAAAACAGTAAGTAACAAAGGCACCCACCAGGGTTGAGCATCCCGTGTTGCTGACAGCAACAACCAGGGGTCAACGTTCTCCTCACAATCCTGTGTCAGAGCATCACCTGAGTGATTTCATTAGCAACTTCCCAGGAGAATCAGCTTAAAACTACTTGTCCAATTCTCCATGCAGATATAACCCATCCCTTTCCCTGAAGAAACAGAGCTGAATGCTGAATACACTGAATGTCTGCTGGTTTTGCAAGTTTGTGACTTTATCACTTTCTAATTTCTGAGTTATGTGGATCACTCTACATATTTCTCTCATGGGTGTGACCAGCCTTCTGGGTGTCAAATATAATTGACTTTCTTTGTGTAAATGTCAGCACAAACTCCTGACGTTTTCTGTGCTCACTGACAAGTCTCAACTCACACAAGGTGTGTCTTTATTAGTTTTGTTTTCTGGTATCTCTACTTGGCTTATTCACCACACCCATGTTATGTTACTTGTACAGGTAATTTACTGTTAGTTTTAAATTTTACTGTTGCTGACTTTAATTAAACAAGCAGGCAATAGTTTAGAATAGAAAACAGTGTTAAGTAAAAGTACATGCAGTAATATTTAATATAAGTAAGCAGGCAGCTGAAAGCCAGGGAAATCCACTCTGCTGTGTAAAAGGGTATGGAGACCTCATAGTATGATGATCTTCTGCAGTTTAATCCACACTGCTACATAAGTGACAGTGTCCACTCTCTTTATATCAGAGCTTTCCCTGACATGTGCAATGAAGACTGAGCCCAGATACCTCCAACGAGAATAACCAGCACCTCTTACCAAGTGCCTGAACTGACAGGGATAGATAGCACATTTGTCTAACAAAATAAATTCACACTCTAAGGATACCCACCAGTCATATGGAGACAATTTGAAAAAATTAAAGCCCAAACCTGATAGGTAGTAATTTATACTTAGAAGAATTAACTTTTATCTCCACGTGCTTTTTAATCATAGAGAAGCTTCTAGTGCCACTGTCCAAGTTACTGGATATCTTATTCCTAGAATGAGACACTGCATAATGTGTTCTGACATGAGGGAATGTAACTATAGTTAAGGGATAGGAGATGTGATCACAGGAACATGAGTCTGAGATCCAGCAGTTCTTGCTCCTTCACACTTGCCCAGAAACAAAGACCCCAGTAGAACAATGGAAGGGCTGACTTAAGTCTCCACAGTCTGATGTGAGATAAACACTAAGTATTTTGTGCCACTGTTTTATAGTAGGAAATTTAATCTCTAAAGATGGCCCATTTTGGGGATAGTTCTATTCTCCAGGATGTGTAAATACCCCCAAACAGAAAGTGGTGAGGAGCAACAACTCTATTTTTTAAAGTGAGTTTCTAGGACTATAAATATCTTAATAGTGATGATATAAAGGATAGGGATGGTTTTTACTAATTGAATGGATACAGAATTGTGGGAGTCACTCTATTCCTATGAATAAAAAATTCAGATTTCAATGTTAAGTAATGTTGCCTACATTGTGCATTTGACAGGGCAGTGATGGATCTGAGAGTGTGCAGGTGCACAGACCCAGTGAGTCAGAAACCAATATGTGAAGATGAGGATCTATGGATATGAATTGAAAGTATATAAACATTTCATGAAATTCTATTAAATGTGGGAGGAAATAAAACCTAAACTTAATCCAAACACAAATTCCTTGACAATTATTTTGGGAGTAGTGAATTCATAAAGAACTCCCAACTTATCTTCCATCTTCTGATTCTTATTCTCTGTGAGATGAGAAAATCAGCTCTACTTATGCACCACAGGGCAAATCTGTAAACCGAGAGCATTTCTATTGAAGATCCTGGGGGATCAGAACACCAGGCAGGTGCTGGAGACACTGTTTCAGGAGCACCCAGATGATCTCAGAGGGACCTGATGGACACTCACGTGGGACATCAGCAGTCACTTTCTCAGAGTCACCAGTGAGCAATGGCTGGTGCCTGATGGGACTAGGATGAGGTCAAGGCACCTTCTCAGTGTCATGGAGAGTGATGGTTCCAGAAATCATCCAGGTGGTCGTTATGCTAATCAAATATGGGTTCGCAGTGAGGAGCATGTCCTCTGGGTGTTTGCTCTTCAGTGAAAGGATGCCTGGCCACTGAAAGTTTGTAAGTGGAGCAGGGCATGCATTTCCTCAAGGAGGATTAGGGCTTGGAGTGTCAGCATCCCACTCTTGTAAAGCTGATGTGTCATTTACCTCCCCATTTTTATCCTGAATCAGGATCTTGAGCTATGAAATGCTCTGTCTCATGAATATGCAAATAACCTGAGATCCACTGGGGTAAATATGGATATGTCGCAGCCTTGAGAATATCACCCAGAAACCACATCCCTCAGCTAGAGAAGCCCCAGGCAGCGCAGCTCCTCACCATGGACTGGATTGGGAGGATCCGCTTCTTGGTGGGAGCAGTGGGACTAGGGTAAGGGGCTCCCTAGTCCCAGTGATGAAGAGGGGATTGAGTCCAGTCAAGGGGGCTTTTATCAACTCCTGTATCCTCCCCACAGGTGCCCAGTCCCAGGTCCAGCTGGTGCAGTCAGGGGCTGAGGTGGAGAAGCCTGGGGCCTCAGTGAAGGTCTCCTATAAGGCTTCCGGATACAACTTCACCAACTACTTTATGCAGTGGGTGCGACAGGCCCCTGGACAAGGACTTGAGTGATGGGATGGGTCTACCTTGGAAATGGTAACACAAACTATGTGCAGAAGTTCCAGGGCAGAGTCACCATGACCAGGGACGTGTCAACGAACACAGCCTACATGGAGCTGAGTAGCCTGAGATCTGAGGACATGGCTGTGTATTACTGTGAGAGAGACACAGTGTGAGAACCCATATCCTGAGAGTGTCAGAAACCCCAGGGAGGAGGCAGCTGTGCTGGCATGCAGGAGATGACAAAGATGATTAGATTGAAGACTTTCTTAGAAGATGGCATTAAGTCATTAAAGAAAAGGAAAAATATAAATGTGTAGTTGAAAAATTTTAATTATTTGAGAGATTGTTCATACAGCATTTATTCTGTAAGCGAATTTCAGGGATTTGAGAATGAATCAAATTAACAGATCTGATAAAGAAATTGCTCTGAACAAATCTTTGTAAACATCAATTTCTGAATCAGCGTTGTAAATATTCTAGAACACAAACACAAGTTCACATTTTAAGTCTACTTTTATCTCTATTTAAAAAATGCCAAAAAATCTCATTTTGTGCTTGTACAATTTTTAATTCCCATCATCAATGCATGATAGTTCTTGGTCTCCCGCATTCATATTGCCATTTATCACTATGAGAATTGTGTGTTTTAACGATGCTAATAGGTGAGTAATGGTATCTAATTTTTATTTAAGTGCACATGTTCCTAATATACATATTTTTGGTGAGATGCCTCTCCTGAGAGTTGGTTAATTTTTAATTGCATTTCTTTTGATGAGTTGTAAGTTTACTTGCACATTGGCTATAAAAGTGATTTAACGAATTAAAAGAATTCATTTAACAAATATGTGACTTGGAATTATTTTCTCCAAGTCTGTGGCTGTCTTTTACTCCCTTATCAGTGGTCATTGCAGAAAAATATGTGTGTGTGTGTGTGTGTTTGCATACACTTAGATAAAAAGCATAAAAAAGTATTCATCCATAGATAATGTCTTTGGCATTATATCTGAAATCTCATTATAAGATACACTAATAGTGATTATTTTTTTCCATGTCTCTAATCTCAGGACACAATCAACTCATGAGTGTTTAAGCTTCACCTACTTGATTGGAGGACTCTCCACCTGAGATATTTGGAATGCTTCTGCAGGGATATGTGCTATTCTTCCCATTATTTCTCTATTTAGTCATCTATTAATATCCGTATTGGTGTATGGATGTCTATTTCATTCTCTGAAGAAGATCCATGCTACAGTATTCATTTTATTGTTCAAATCATCACAGTTTTATTAGGTGCTGGGAGCCAATTTATTTTGGA